TGCTAATATAAAACACTATCTTTAAACATGGGGGCAAGGCATTATTATAAAGATTTAGTTATTTCAGAACAGCATGGGATAAGTTTATCAGACCTGAAAGTTTCAAGCTGACTGAAGAATCTTTGAAAACAAGTTTAGTGAACATTTTTAGTAAGCCTCACTTCATAAAGTTTTTCTATGAGAGTGCAGTAGTGTTTATATGTGTTTCACTTAGTCCACTTTATCATCTAAATATGATATCTTTAAGTTTCATAACTACATTTAAAGTAGGGTATTAATTATATTACATAATTTGTTGTACAGTGATAAAATTTATTATGTGAAAAGGTTGAGAAAATCTGGTTTATGGAAAAAAAATTATTCACAAGAGAGTCATAGTAACTGAAAGAGTTGGACTAAGAGATAGGAAGCACAAAAATATTTGATTGAGTTCTCCCCCTAGTGGAACTTGAAAATGACCCAAGACATTTCCAGGACTAAGGATAATCTGTTAAGGTTGAGAAAAGGAGTTTCAGGTTTTAACAAAAGATCTATTTATGGATCTTAATAGAAGGAAAGTTGAATGATAAAAATATCTACTGAAAACACATTTACTAAATGTGTTAATAGCAAGTTAGTCAAGAAGAACTGAATATGCAGAAATACCTCAAAAGCAGAGAACTAGGAGGTTAAAAAAATTGAGCAATTTATGAAGAACTAGTAGCATGTAGAATGAAATTTTGAAAAGTGTAGGCACGTATAAACAAGGTAGGGAGTGAGGATGGGGAGGCAACAGATGTAAGATTAGAAATGTAGGTTTAGGGAATAATTACATTTTATGCTGAGGTGGTTTAACTGGTTTGGTAGCAAAAGGTAGTCAAAAGTTTTGTTTTAGAAAGAAAACACTGGTAGTTCTGTGGAAAAGCTGAGGCTGGAAAAAAGGAAACATGATAAAAAGTTACTATAAATGCTCTGGTAAGAACATGGGGCAGATTGATTAAGGGAGCGGTGGGGAATAGAAATGCTTTGAAGATTTCAAGAAAAAAAATTATTTAAATGACTGAAATTACCTTTGATTTAGTTTTAAATTTACTCAGGCATTTTATCTTTTGAAGGTAGTGAAGAGTTGGACAATAAAGTTTAGTCTGTATGAATTATGAAGAGTTACCTGAAACAAATTCTATAAGAGTAGGTTATATATGAAAAATATAAGTTAGATATTAAGTAGCATAAGCACCCTGATATAATTTTACATCTCCTGAAAATTTATATACACTTTATATACATTCTTAGTATACAGCAGAGGATAAGAAGTTTCTACTATATGGACCAATCTGACAAGAGGTGTTACCATTGATCAAGACTTGATATAAAAAATAAGGAAAACATTTTGAATAGAATAGGAACATCTGATTTTAAATATGAATTTGAAGTATCTGTATAACTTTCAAGTAAAGCTAGTAGCCATTAAAACAGAAGTTTAAAAGACAGAAGTTTAAAAACAACTAAAAAACCAAACAAAAGTCACAGAGTAGAAGTAGACATCTGTAAAACATAATATCAATATGTAAAAATACACATTTCCATAAGAAAAAGACAGACAACAGATGAAATATACACAAAAGACATTAATTGGCACTTTACAAAAAAAGGAAATCCAAAAGGGCAACCTAATTAGTAATCAAGTAAATGGAAACTAAAACCAGGATGATTATTACTACAGACCCAGAAGACTAGCACCAATTAAAACATTCTGACACCACCAAGTGTTGGGGAGGATGTGTTAAAAACAAGAACTTTCAGATGATGCTGCTGGAAGTTTAAAAGGTACAGCACTTCGGAAAATACAGATTTGTATGACTTAGTCATTCCACACCTTGGTAAACATGGTAGATATACTTGTGTATATGTGGTCCATGGAATGCACAGATTATTCATAATCACAGCATTGTTAATAATAGCCCCAATCTGGAAATTCCCAAAGGACTACTTTTAACAGAATGGATAAATATACTGTGACATATTCATAGGTGGAACATCGGCAACAAAAATGATGACTTTATTTTAAAATTTATTTACTTGTGCACACAGAACTGGCGTACAGGCCAAAGGTGCAGGGGCGGAAAAAGGACTCACCAAAGACAGAATAGGGAGCAGAACAGGCAGAATGATGAAGTACACTGCTGAGGGGGAGCAGTGGGAGAGATAGGAGAGGTCTGCCGCACCATGTGGGTCCCTGCCCAGGGACCTAACTTGCACTGAAGTGGCTATCGTCAGCTCCACAGTGCTGAACTTTCACCTGTTGCACCATTAGGGAGGACCCAATGATGACTTCTTAAAAAATAGCTGAAGAGACAAGACATATTCAATAGTACTCTGTACAAAATTCAGAAACAGAAAACTAAAATATATGGAAAAGAGATGCAAGATAATACAATTATAAGGAAAACCAAAGGAGTGACTAATATATAATCCAGGATAAAGGGAGTAGGATGTGACTAGGCAGATTTCTGGGGAAATACCTGACCTAAGTGACGGTTATATGGGTAATGTGTACACACGTGAGCTATATGATAGAGCTTTGTTTTATGAACCTCTCTGTTATCCCATACTGTCTGAAAGGTTAAAAATATATAGTGATTTTGGGAAACATGCCAGGCTGTAGATAAACTAGTATTCACTGTTATAAAGATGACTCCTGAAGCCATGTAAATGAGAATTTTCATTTCAGTACAGATTTTAAAAAGCCCAAAACTTGGAAGTTTCAAAAGAATACAAAAACATTCAGAATGGATAAAGGAAACTGAAAACAAAATTTAAACAAGAAAGAAGGCAGGCAAAAATGAGTGATAATAGGAAAGCCACAGAAGAGAATGCTAAGAAAATATTCGAAAGTGACAGCTCAAGGATAAATAGTGAAAAAGTACCAATGAATCTGGTAGAAAAAAAATCACAGAACCATTCTGTAATCAGTGGCTGAAGCCAAAGATTGTTGCAGGCAGTGCCCCCTGGAGGGGGTTGCTGGTAAGGACAGATAGCCCCACAGAAAATGCTAAAATGTGTTGCATTTTAGGGTGGAGTGACTGATAAAGGGACTAAACTGTCACAGATTATTTGGTGTTGGGGATACAGTGTGAGCTTTCAGCATTTAGGATTCTGCATTTTCAGATCTTCAGCGTTTTCAGCTCTTCAGCGATTTCAGGGTCAGTGATTTCAGGCCCCAAAGTGTCAATCTTCCAGAAGACTGTTGTAGACCTCTGAATGAATGTAGACAGGCCTCCAGCAGCCAACCTCACAGAGGAAAAATTCAGGGGCTTTGCATTTAGCTGAGCAACTGAACCTGTTCCCAGTTCTGCTGCTGTTCCAACCTGGAAAAGACCCAGAGCAGGCATCTTGCTGAGCTGCATGAGTATGGCCGTTTGTTGGGTTGTTCAGCTGTTGAGCTTGTTTAGTGTCAATTGTCTGGTGCTGTGCTGGGGCATCTCAGCACCTCTGGGAGCATCTCATGTTGTGTCTTCTGTTGTCTTCATGAGTATAGCCTGGGTGCCACGTGCTCTAGCTCCACAGTGGCAGGAAGATGTCATCTCGGGCACATGGCCTATTATTCAGAAGAGTTCTGTGCCCTGTGGCCAGTTCTGTGTCTCTGCCCTCAGTGGTGGGAAGACACCATCTTAGCTGTATTTGTTTAGGACCTGAAAACTTTGGGTGAGGCAAACGGCCATTTCTGGCCCCAGTAACTGTTTTTTCCTGGTTTGTTAGATAATCCCATTATTGTTGTTCTCTAAAGCTGAGTAGCTGTGCAATTGTCACATGTGGGTGAAGAACTCAGACAGTGATTGATAAACAATTTGGGCAGCTTTAGAGATCCTTGCTGCCCTGTATCAATTCCAGTGATCATTTAATCAGGAGTCATTTGATGTTAATACACTGCTATTGATAAGAAAATTTTCATGTATTTTCTATTCTTCATGCTCAGTATATCAACAAAATGATATGTTGTTATATTTCTTTTAAAACAAAACATGCCACACTACTAGGTTTTTCACTTAATATTTCAGAGTCAACAAAAAGAATTTATTTAAATCTTATTACTTTAGGTGGAAAATGAAGAGAAATGGTAAAACTATGCTTTTCTTGACTTAGAGAAGTATAGGCTAAAACTGGAATTGCATAGCCTGCATGATTTAACGAGCCAGTTACAAATACATAATTCATTTGGCTCAATTTCACTAATTATTAGAAAGTACAAATCAAAACCATAATGAAGTACCTTAATACACCCATTAGGGTTGCCTTTGATTATAAAAAAGAACACACAAAATTAACATGTGTTTGTCAACTGTACATTGTTTTCAGGAATGTAAAGTGGTTCCGCTACCTTGAGTCATTCCTCAAAAAGTAAACATAAAATTACTATATAACCCAGCAATTTGACTTCAAAGAAATGAAAGCAGAGACTCAAACAGATATTTGGACACCCATGTTCAAAGTAACATTATTTAACAGGCAAAAGGTGGGCATGTCCCTCAGTGAGTGAATGAATAAACAACGGTAATCTTTGTGTATAAGAAATATTATTCAGTCCTACAAAGGAAGACAATTCTGACAATATTAAAACATGAATGGACCTTGAAGACATTACGCTAAGTGAAACAAGTCAGTTATAAGAAGTATATAATGTATGATTTTACTTCTATGAGGTATCAAGACTAGACAAATTCAGAGACAAAGTAGAACAGTGGTTTCCAGAGACTGGAAGAAGAGGCAATGGAGTTGTTTAATGGATATAGAGAGTTTCAGGTTTGTAATATAAAACCAGTTATGGAGTCTGTTTATATAATAATGTGAAACATTTCACATCACAGAATTTTACACTCTAAAGTGGTAACATTTATGTATATATGTATTTTACTATAAGGAATCACAGTTATTAGGAAGAAGCCATAAATCACTGTTCAGATGCAGACAGGAGGAAAACTGCTGTGTTTTTTTATACGTGTTGCATTATTTTCATACAGTACCTGGATTTCAAGCTCTGCAATGTGCTGCTGTAGTTCAGCAACAGCAGCTATGCTATCTGCTTCCCGAAGTCTCACAGCCATCACTTCTTCTTTGTTCTAGCGTGGCAACCAAAATAAAACAAACACACACTATATGAGAAAATCAAGCCAATAGTATGGTAAGTCAATAATAAGACAAAAAATATACATAATGTTCTTCAAATTTAGAAAATGACATAGGGACCCACGGTTACATGAGAGAAAGAAGTCACTAGCTCCTCAGTTACTGACATAAGAAGGTACAGAATAGCACCCCATCTTTAAATATTAGAGAAATACTACTCATACAAACATTGCGTAAGATATTAAAGACTTTATTAAAGTTGGTATGGACTGAACAAAAATTATTCACAACTTGAACACTCTAGAAAATAAGACAACAGATCAACAGGGAATATAGATATTTAAAAAGTATGTTAGCTACATAATACATATATTTTTTTCAATTTAAATTTAGATTTATTTCTGGTGGGAGGTAGGTGTGGGTGGGGACCGTGGGGAGCGGTGACCAGCTACATAATATTAAGAACTTATTCTTCTAGGTAGTAAATGTTAATGAATATTTACATTATAATACAAAGGAGAATAATAAAAATTAGATTGTATCATAATTCTAACTTCAGGAAAACATACTTTTCAATTCTACTACCTCAAGATTTCACAATGGAAAACTCCAAAACCATATTTTTTTACATCAATGCTAAATAAAGGTGATCCAGAAAAAACAATATATGAAGCAAATGTTAGAGAAACGTGGTTTATTTAAAAACATCCGCTCTTCCATTAACTTCAGTTGGAATTGCATAACTTAGCACAGAAATGAGCAGCAGTATGATCCCAGGAGAAATGTACCTTGATAGTATTACAGTATTAAAGTTCTAAAAAACACTAAATTTAGTAGAAATGCAATAATTAAATGCTTAAATAAAATTTATATTAATTCTTATATCGCAGATAGGATACTAGTAATTCACTTTAAAATACTGCTTGCTTGAAATATACTGCCAATTTGCATGGAACCATAATACATGGTCTCTGTACCTAGTGATGTGTATGTTTAACAGTCAGTGCTCAGGTGTAGGGTATGTGTGTATATTCACATGTGTGTGTATGTATAAATGTGCCCATGCATAAGTTTATCATATATTTTAATATAAACTGACATAGAGGATGCATAGTATACAATATGCAAACAATAACATAATATTCATTATTGTAAATTCTATAATATATATTCTCAGAGAATGTTTCCACTGGTTTTTGCCAAACTCTTGTATGCAGGGCTACCAATAGCTAAAACTGAGGAATAAATGAAGTTAGACATGACCTTTGGTTGATGATTTTAGTTTATGTTAAAGATAAAATTAAATGAAGAAGACTTAGAATTTCACTCATTTGTCAATGATGTGAACAAGTGTTTTGCTGATTGTGACCACAGTAATCAAATACTGGAAGAAAATTTCCTAAATATTTTAAACTATTCACAATGTAAAGGCTGATGATATAACAACCTTTGAAGCCTTAATCTGCAATAACAATCTAGAGCAGCCATCTACAACTTTTCCTTAAAAGGCCGATACCATAGACGCGATCACAGAACTCTGCGACAGGTGTGTGAAAGTGGCCACAGACAATACATACATGAATGAGTAAGGCTGTATTCCACTAACACTTTACAATAACACAGCCAGGCAGGTTTGTGCTATGGGATGTTATCTTTCAAAACTGGTTCAGGCAACCAGTAAGACAATAAATCAAACCTTGATTTGTAATCTGACCATTTAAATGGTATAAATATTCCTTTCACACTACCAACACAGCATGACAGAACCTAGAATTAGGAAGAAAATACACAGCAGCACACTATTATATGGTATTTCCATCTAACAGGTGTAAATAACCTCACACAGATGATAAAATGTAAAAATAATTAGGAAATGATGATGTTTGAGGGTTTATTACCTTTGTTTTATCACAATTTGCTTACTCGTACAATTAAAATTTAATGATTACTTACCAGTTATGTCATAAGAGTCCTGAAAATTGGTTCTTAGAAGCTTTTACTAGTCAGCTCTAACACACCACTGTGTCTACATTTAATAAAATTACCTCATCCTCTCCATTCTTTATTTTAAACACTTCAATGGCACACAGTAGCTTGAGATAATACTCCATGTCTTTATACAGATGCGCAAGGTTCTTTGATTTAGCTCTCAATTTATGTTGCAGTTTCATTTCTCAATCGTATTTCTCACTATACTCCCCTCAAGCTATCAAAAGAATGAATGTCTTTTAGTTCCAGCAAACCTGCTCTTTTTTCTCACTTCTGCTTTTCACACATGGTATTTGCTTTGCCCAGTGAACTCAGCAGCTTTTCCTTGATTAACTGCAACATGGGCTCCAGGTCTCAGCTTAACCATTCTTCATTAGTCCTTCTTGTACGATTAGCCTAACACTAAACTCCCGTTACAGTGTTCTATGTACCTCTTCATTCATCCCATTATTCATATTGCACTGTATATAATTATATGTAATTTAATTTGGTCTTCAATAAGAGAAAGTTCTCTGAGGACAGGATCTCCACCAGTACCAGTATGCATCCATGTGTGAGAGTCATCTATAAATTCTTATCCTTCAGCTTCAGTTAAGCCGTCATATAACTGTGGTCTCATGAAAGACTCTAAATTAGAACCACTTGATGAAGTTAGTCCTGAATTTCTGACTCACAGAAACTCAGGGACATTAGATCTTATTGCTGTTTTAAGCTATTAATTTTAGTTGTTATAGAGAGACAGATAACTAATTCACTTATATTCTACTGATTTTAGTTAACACTGCATATAAATATATTGATCAAATGGAAAAAATAGGGGGCATCAATTTTCTCCTGACTTTTAACTTTCTCTAATCTAATCACCAAGTCGCCTTGGTTCTCTACAAAAACACATCCAGAACTGATCTATTTCTCTAGTACTGCTGCCGATACTTAAGCCCAAGGTAGCATCTTTGTCCTGTGCTATTACCTGAGGTTCTCGTATCAAATCTATCTCCAATGTCACCTCAAATTCGTCTCCATACACAGAAGCATTTGTGACTTTTTAAAAAAACTGCATTAATTGCAATAAACAATATGTTCCAATAAATGTTTAAAATAGCTTCTAAAACTAAAGATATTTGCATAGCCTCAAGATATTGCCCCTAAAATATTTATTACTTTTGCAATGGTGCTAGCCTATGTCCACAAACTCTTTGACATTCTTCTCTTAAGGAGGTGTAGTTTAATATCCCTGACCCCCTTGGACTATAGTCTAGACTTAGTAACTTGACTGTGATAAACAGAGTAAGAGGAAAATACCTCTATAGTGGAGAAAGCTGGCAGATGCCAACTAGACCAAATGACTTAAGCTTAACACTAGAAAACTAAGACATAGCAACATATTGGGCCCTCCTGATAGGATGTGCTGAAAAGACACTAATCCCTTCAATCTTTTCTTAAATACGTAACCTTTTGTTTAGTCATGACAAAATACCAGACAATCCCAAGTTGAAAGATACTCTACAAAATACCTGAGCAGTATTCTTTAATAATTAAGCTAGTGAAAGACAAGGCACAGAAAACTGTCACAGATCAGAGAAGACTGAGACAGTACAGGGGAATCTGAATGAAGTCTACAGCTCAGTAACATAATTGTACCCATACCCATGTCTTTAATAATGATACATGCGCCATGATTATAGATGTTTAACATTAAGAGTAGCTAATTAAAGGTTATATGGACTTTTCTGCATAGAAAGGAAATTTCTATTGAATAGGAGAAAGGAAATCCACTGAATAGAAGAAAACATATGCAAATTATGTCTGATAATGGGTTAGCATAACAAATATATGGAGAGCTCATAGCTCAACAGCAAAGAAAAACAAACAATCCAATTAAAAAATGGGAAGATCCGGGACATTTTCCCAAAAAACAACATATAGATGGTAAACAGGTGCATGAAATGATAATCACTATCACTAAACATTAGGGTAATGCAAATCAAAACTACAAGATAACACCTCACATCTGTCAGAATGATTATTATGAAAAAACCAAGAAAGAAGAAATGTTAATGAGGATGTGGAGAAAGGTTGGTAATGGAACTGGTATGGTATGGTCACTATGAAAACAGTATTGAGCCTTCTCAAAAATTTAGAAACGGATCTACCATATGATCCATCTGTTCCACTTCTGGGTATTTATCCAAAGAAAACAAGCACTACCTTAAAAAGATATAGGGACCCCACCTTTACTGCAACAATATTTACAACTGCCAAGATATGGAAACAAGAATCAATTACAGGATGAATGGATAAAGGATGTGTGGTACATATACCCAATGTACTATTATTATTCAGCTATAAAAGAGAATGACATCTTGCCATTTGAAATACTTTTGTATCTGCAGAATAGTGGATGGACATTGAAGGCATTATGCATTATGAAACTAAGTCAGGGAAAGACAACAATTACTGTATTATCTCACTTAGGTGTAGAATCTAACAAAAAAAAAACACAAAAGGAAGAAAGAAAAACCCAAGTTCATGGATACAGAGAACAGACTGCTGGCTGCCAGAGGCAGTGGGTGAAACAGGAAAAGGATATCAAAAAGTACAAAGTTCCAGTTATAAATTTCATATTTCAAAGTTGTTAAGAGAGTAAATCTTAAAATATCATCACAAGAAAACAATCTGTAACTGTGCATGATGACAACTGTTAACTAGACTTTTGTGCTGTTTTATTCTGTAATATATACAATATCAAATCATTATACTATACACCTGAAATAAAGTCTGAAGTCAATTATATACTAACTTTTTAAAAAGGTCTAAGGGGAAAAATAAAAATAGAAACTCTGCATTATCTTTTCCACTATTCTGTAAACATAAAAGTATTTAAAATAAACAGTGAAAAACAAAATCATAAACATAAAAGTATTTAAAATAAACAGTGAAAAACAAAATCAGATGCCAATATACAAAACAGAGAAACAAGCCTGTCATGTTGCTGCTTCTTAAAATCTTTCAGCAGTCACTCAGCCCTGAAGAGTAAAGTGCAAACCCATTGCCATGGGTTGTAAGAATCTCTATGGTAAGAAGTAGAGTACTACCCTACCTCCCTGGCTTTATTTACTTCATTCATCCTTTCCTTACATATGAGACTCAGCGGTCCAAATCCTTTCCTTCTTTGGGGACTTGCACTCTGGCTTATCTGCTTAAAAGAAATTCTAAAAGGACAAGACAGAAAGTAATAATAAAAGCAGTTACTTGGGAGAAATAATAGTGGGAACATGTCATATGGTCAAGAAAAGAATGAGATAAAAAGGACCAATGGTGAGACTACTGCTTTTATTTATATTCAGTTAAAAAAAAAAATCAAAGTAGGAACTCTCCTGCCTGCTGGTGGGAATGCAAGCTAGCACAACCATTATGGAAAACTATTTGGAGATACCTCAAACTGCTAAAAATGGAGCTTCCATATGACCCAGCAATCCCACTCCTAGGAATCTATCCAAAAGACAAAAAACACTGATTCAAAAAGATACCTGCACCCCATGTTTATTGCTGCTTTACTTACAACTGGAAAGACATGGAAACAGCCCAAATGCCCAGAAGTGGATGACTGGATTAAAAAGATGTGGTACATATACACAATGGAATATTACTCAGCAACTCATATATATAATATATGCCTTTTGCAGCAACATGGATGGAGCTGGAAAAGATCATGCTTAGTGAAATAAGCTAAAACAAAAAGGAAAAATACTGGATGGTTTCACTCATAGCAGGAATATAAAGGACCAGGCGAGAAAATAATAATAGTAATGAACAGTTATATACCAGAGACATTTTATGGGGGTGGAATGGGGAATTGGATCAAAAACAGTGGGGAGAAGGAAATGCACTGGACTATGGTGATGGCACATGGGTGATTTGGTGATGGGAAACCCAAGGGGATTGCAACTCAGGTGGAAAAAGGCACAAAATGATGTAAAAATAAACTATTTAAAAAAAATTAACATAGGAAAATTAAATATTTAAGTTCATAGAAAAAAATCAAAGTATTATGAAAAATGTGTATATATTAAGCTACTAAAATGTATATTAAATATAAGCAACAGGTTTCTTTCTTCCTCTTCCCTTCTGATCATTAGTCCAGATTTGCAAAATATTATAATCAAAGTAAACTTTGATTGACCTTTCTCATTTAACACTATTTATTATACAATTTTACAAATTTGTATAAGAATCAATAATATACTATTTCTCATGGACTTATATGTATCTGTGCAAAACTATAGAATACACAAAATTTTTCAAATTTAGGTTTACAGAGGAAATTCCACATTCTCATTACTAACATCCTGGGGGCCATGTATACTTTGGAATTTTAGATTTCAGGCATATACAGCGAGAGTAACTTATCCATTAGTATTATCCAGCAGGACCTGAGGCAGCATCAATGATGAAACAGCATGCTTAACATAAGGAAGTAGAGAGGAGTACTTTAAAAATTGAAAGTAGTCATATTTTAATTCAAATCAGGTTTTGCTTCCAAATAAACTGGCATGAAATTTATGAAAAAAATGTTTAGGCTCAGAGTGTTAGGATTTTCTTTGGTGCATCACAGATTTATACTACTTCATCTTTAAGTATAGAAAGTCAAATTCAGTTGTTGAGAGATGATAATGTTAATAGTAAAAATGATACCTTGACATTTTACATGAATGAAAAACACAATAAAGATTAATAATTACTTTATAATCATATAAGATAAATGAAAATAATGGACTGGCTTTAATTGTGTTTAATTAAGGACTAGATTTTTCAACAATATCTGGTTTGTTTTCGAATTTCTGCAACATAACAAGGTAAAATACTTATACTATCAAAATGTAACAGGTGGTAGGGTGACACTTAACATACTTGTCATTCTTGCAGTCCGCAAAAGGCATTACAATGAATTGATATAGCTTAAACTCGGGGAGATATCAGAGTCAGCTTCTGTAACATACTATACAGAGGAATTAATGAAGTTAAAAATTAAATAAAATCTCATATCAATTCTTAACAATCCCTAAAATTCTTGTTTATTATCCCATTATGTAGCAACATTCAAAGAAAACAATGATTTTCATCAGCAAACTCCCCAAATATTTATTTCCAAAGAACACTTCATTTTGATTAAATGGTCTAAAGCCTTTGAAGAGCAATATTAAATCCAGCAACAGTGTTATCAAGATATGTTTAAGGAAAATTTACACTAACAATGAAAACATGGATCAAATTTAGTTCTTAATAAAATCAGGCAATACACACAACATAGCATCACCAAAAATCAGATATTAGTATGACAAACCAAACTAATAAAACCTCATCTCATTTCATTTTTAAAATAGTATAGTCATATTCCATTAAGAGGAACAACTCCTAAGTTGATATAAATTTCAGTACTGCCTACAGATTTCTGTCAGTGTAAATTATAACAGCCATGCATATTTATTAGGATGTAATTTCATCTCTGGATTTCAGTGACACTGATAAACCACTCAAGCTTCACTCTTGGTTTTTAATGACACCAGAACAAGTTGATGGAATTACAGCTTTATATGTGCCATTGAAAGTCTTATTTCTTATCATAGAATAAATAAGGCTGGAGTCTTTAAATGGCGTCATTTCTACTATCTCATCATGGAAAGATAAATGTCTAAATCCCTAACTTGTCTTCAGTGATACATTCTAGTGCTCAGACTACAGTCATTCCTTTAGTTACTTCTCTCACACATAGCCCCCCTCACCTTCCAACCCACAGCCTCTTCTCTTTGTCTCCCCACAATTATACTATAAATTTCAGGGGAAACTGTACATGCATTCAAATGCTTTTTTTCATGCTTTATGAATCCAAGTAATTCATACAAAAAGAAAAATAAGTGATTAAAATAATGGGAAATTAGACAGTTTACCCTATGCATTGCAGGCCCACATTATTTTCTACTCCATCCAGAAAACATACAAAAAACACCACAGAATGCCCACAAATACAGGGCCAATCAAAGCTGAGCTGCTCTAACCTTTCTAAGTGCTCGTCTTTGGCTGAGACATTAAAAACTTCAGTAAAACTCTTTAAATTCTGAATTTTGTTATTTATATTTTTATTCTCTCTAATTTTATTGCTATAACATTGGTTTACTATGTATTTTAGGAGTATGGTTTCAAAAAAAGCTTTGATTTTAAAGAGACACGGGTTAAAAGAAAGAAATGTAGAAATATCAACTTAATTTCCTGCACTGGCACTTGCCCAAGTGGTTGGAAATGAGGTTTCCTGCTTGAAATCTACCTGGGAACACTGTGAGCTAACTCTGAAAGGTGCCATAATAGCAAGCTCAAGAAAAGGGGGAGTTAGAAAACTGTCCCTTTTAATCTGGTTTTAAGATGACACGACTATGACAAAACAAACAAAATCATGTGTTAAAAAAAACATGAAGTAGCTAGTTGACATATTTACCTTGCACTCAATCTCTGCTTGTTTGCGTTTTGCTTCACTTAACTGAGTAAGCAGTCCTTTGTTCTGTGCAGAAAGGTACTGCACCTTCTCCTGTAGACTGATCACCTCTTGTTCTGCTCTTCGAAGATGGTTACTATTGATTTGGTTCTAATAATTAAAAACATAAATACTTAGACTATAGATAACAGACCTGGGGAAAAAAAAACCATAAATTGCTAGCTACCCATTCTGACCCTCAGCAACTATTAAAAAAAAAGAAAGTATGTCAATTTCATTCAACAAACAAATAAATAAAAACGGAAATTGTTTTAAAAATCAAGTCATCCAAAGGAATACTTAAGGTCCATATTGGAAAGCTCCACTTCTGCTTAAATTATAATTTATAAAATGAACATCTATAAATTATAAAGATGTTTATGTAGAAGTTTAAATATTAATTTCAAAATAGACAACGTTGTTACAAAGTGAGAACACACAGGAATATGACCAATGTAATTCCTCTTTGAAATTCTCAAAAGAAAGCACAGGCTGACTGAAAGGTGCATCACCATTTACCAGATTCTGAATTCCCTGATGTATCATACGCCATGAAATGTGTAGGCTTACCACAGTTTATTTTTATGTAGCATGGACTGCTTTTGAATTCTCACTTGCTACTTGATGATTAAGTGAACTGGTATATCAGTGAGTATTTCCTCATTTTAAAATTGTTAAGATAAGGCCCTGCCAGGTGGCACAGAGGGTTAGGACGCAGCACTGCAAGTTAGCACGGCCACTTCAGTGCGAGTTTGATCCCCGGCCACACCGAGCATGGCAGACCTCTCGTATCTCCCCTCTCCTGTCTCCCCGCTGCGCCCCTCAGCGTGTACTTCTCAGTTGGTCTGTTCTGCTCCCCTGTCTCTGGTGAAGCCTCTCACCGTCCCTACACCTCTGGCTTGTCCTCCAGTCCTGCATGCATAAATCAATAAATCTTAAAAAAAATTGTAAAGATAAAAATCAAACCAATCACAAATCCTAGATGTCTGACTAGAATTGAGGCTACAAGAGGGGAAGAGGGAGGGAGGAGAGCAGCGAGGGGAGGGGATGTAATAGGATATGGTGGAGAACTACAGTGTGCTAGTGATGGACACAAGGTGGTAGCATATACCTGAAGGGTGTGATCCTATACCGCTCACCAAATGCATACTGGATAATGATCTGTCTCAAGTTTAAAAAAAAAATCTGGATTACTTAATAGATTTAAGGCTCCAAACTTTCTACCACTCAGGTTTCTCCAGATTTTACTTACATTACTTGTTTCACTTTCAATAAATGTTTATTGTTAATATACAAAATTAAGAGTGAACTTTTTAGTACAGTATTCAAATTGCCACTCAGCATCTTTTTACTGTCTTACCTCTTACCACCAATAAAAATAACTACACTTCAGAGGGACCTTCAATATAAGCTGCAAAGAATCCCCACAAATGAACTTCTCTTGATGCCTAAATACAAATCCATGGTCCATAATTACAGGATACATAATAAACAAAGTCCATCAACTGACCATGAGTGAGAAATTGTAGATAAAAAAATGGCAAAAAATGGATTTTTATGAACTGTAGTTAGGAACTTCATATAAAATAACGTTTAAAATTTAGACACAGAGGCCCTCCCTGGTGGCGCAGCAGGTTAAAGCACAGCACTGAGAATCTGAGGCCACTTCCGCATGAGTTCGATTCCCGCCTGCCGCCTGCCCCGGAGGAGACCACATGGCGAGCCAGACCTCTCCTGACCCGCCCGCTGCTCCCCTCAGCAGTGTACTTCGTCGATCTGCCTGTTCTGCTCCCCACTCTGTCTCTGGTGAAGCCTCTCACCGCCCTTGAGCCTCTGGCCTGTACCCCAGTTCTGTATGAATAAATAAATAAATCTTTAAAAAAAAAATTTAGACACAGAAGCAAAAAATAAACAAAGAACATGCTCCCCCCCACCCTCGTTCAATAAGCCTGAAAAATAACCTATTTCTAGAAATACTATAAATTCAATTAAGAGGTCAGACAGGGCCCTCCCTGGTGGCACAATGGGTTAAAGCACAGCACTACGAAGCTCTCTGAAGCCACTGCAGCTCAAGTTTGATCCCTCGCCAGGGAGCTGATCCACATGGCATGGGAGACCTCTCCTGACCCACTGACTGCTCCCCTCAGCAGTGTATTTCAATTAAGCTGCCTATTCTGTTCCCCATTCTGTCTCTGGTGAATCCCCACCCCCACCTCTGGCCTGTACCCAAGTTCTATATGCGTAAATAAATCTTTAAAAAAAAGAGGTAAGACAGGAGATTAGATACCTTGAGGAAATAAGTGCTGCCCCAGAATAGGCTATGACACATTAAAGAAAAAAATATATCTAATAGGGGTTGATGAAACAGAAATGGGAGAGGGGCGAAGGTAAGTTATGACAGTCAAGGAGATAATAATAGGCGAAGAGATAAGGATCTTTGTGATTAAAAATATGTATGAATCCAGGTTAGGAAACACAACTAAAACCATGCAGGACAAATACAAATAAATCCTTGTCAAGAAACATAATAATAAAACACAGAATGTTAAAAAAAATAAAAATAGAAGACACAAATCAATGGGAAAGCCAGCATCTGTGAAGAAAGTAACATAGCCTATAGACATCTCAACAGGAAAACCTTGTAGTGTCTAAAAGGATGAGAGCACATGCAACTAAACTATCACATAAGAATGAAAGAAAAGTACATTTATGTTAAGACAGTGAGAGTTTACAACTCATGGCTGACACCAGAAAGAAGCAGTCCAATAAAAGAATAGAAACAAAATATTACAAAACAGGCAGGCAAATCCAAAAGGGCACTGACTCCATAAAACAACATCATCTAGTAGTTCAGAGGTCTAAAAAATGTATACAAAGGTGTTTAGTAATAATGAGATGTAAGCTTGGAAGAGTATTCAAAATTCTTTTAAGACCCTTATACATTTTGGAAGGACAAGACAGACAGAAGATGGAGATTTTCAGTCAAATAAGCATTTTCAAAGTGTTTTCAGATAATAAACACTAATAGAAGAGAAAAAGAATTAGAAAAGTGATACTAATAGCAAGAAAAAGAAAAATATTAATTAATCTAGTAAAAAACAAGAAAGGGCCCTCCCTGGTGGCGCAGTGGATTAAAGCACAGCACTAAGAAGCTTAAGCCACTTCCGCATGAGATCGAGCCCCGCCTGCCCCGGAAGTGACCACATGGCGGGGCAGACCTCTCCTGACCCGCCCGCTGCTCCCCTCAGCAGTGTACTTCGTCGATCTGCCTGTTCTGCTCCCCACTCTGTCTCTGGTGAAGGCTCTCACCGCCCCTGAGCTTCTGGCCTATATCCCAGTTCTGTATGCGCAAATAAATAAATCTTTAAAAAAAAAACACTAAAAAACAAGAAAGGAGGAAAAACTTAGACTAGAAAGTATAAAATAAAGCTTCATATATATCACAGGGAAAACTTTTTACTTCTGAGTGGAGATATAGTAAGAAAGATCATTGCTCCCACCCTTTCATTTGAAGAAAAAAAGAAAAAACCAGCCCAAATCTAAGTTCATGAACCTAGAGGGCAACCAAATAGTCCAAACTCTGTGGAGCCAAGGGAAGGCTACAGCTGGAAGTTGTTGAGAACAGTTCAGCTGGGGTACAGGCCAGAGGCGCAGGGGCGGTGAGAACATTCAGCAGGACAGAGTGGGGTGCAGAGCAGGCAAACTGAAAAAATGCACTGCTGAGGGGAGCAGCCAGCGTTCAGGTGAGGTCTGCTGCATCATGTGGGTCACCTCCAGGGCAGGGCATACAATTTGCACTTAAGTGCCTGTGGCCAGTTTGCAGTGCTGCATCCTAACCAGTTGGGCCACCAGAGAGGGCCCTGATACAATACTCTTTAGATGAACAATGTAGTATAATACGTTTTTATTTTTCTCACTTTGCTGTGAGATAACTTCATGGATCATCATCAGTTAAATCATTGGTCTGTAAAAACCAATGCCTGGCCCTCCCTGGTGGCGCAGCGGGTTAAAAGCACAGCACTGAGAATCTGAAGCCACTTCCGCATGAGTTCGATTCCCACCTGCCGCCTGCCCCGGAGGAGACCACATGGCGAGCCAGACCTCTCCTGACCCGCCCGCTGCTCCCCTCAGCAGTGTACTTCGTCAATCTGCCTGTTCTGCTCCCCACTCTGTCTCTGGTGAAGCCTCTCACCGTCCCTGAGCCTCTGGCCTGTACCCCAGTTCTGTATGAATAAATAAATAAATCTTAAAAAAAAAAAACAAAAAAAAACCAATGCCTTACAACATTCTTTCAAACAAAATTCATCCAAAAACACAATCATTAGTCAAATTCAATTTAAAACGCAAGTTCCCCAAAATTAAAAAAAAAGAGAAAAAAATCAAAATGCAAATTCCTTAGGAAGACTTTCCCCAAACTACGTAGTTAAAATTTCCCCTCTTATTCTCCAAGGCAATTTCTATGTAAATTCTTCAAATATCTGATTTTTGAATATGTATTTCCCAGTTTTAATGAGATGTAACTGACACATAGCACTGTGTAAGTCTAAGGCGTACAGCATGACTTGACATATATATTGTGAACTGATGACATTTCACAAATTTAGTTAACACATATCTCATATAGTGAATTATATTAAATGTAGTTTGTACATCACAATTTCTTATGTGTATGGTCTTTGGTGCCGCACAGTACTTTGTATTCCCAAGTTCTGTTTGTTGAGCTTGATTCATTCACTTATAATCACTCTGAAATAAATCCTGAACACAGGTTTGAAAACTGTGTATCTTTACTATCTATATTGAGATAAAATTTGATTATAAAAATAATATTTTCCATTATGAAAGCTACAGTTTGACTTTTCATAACTTTACTAATATTTTTAATCACAATGAAAAATATAAATCAATATATATTTTTTCCTAAAGGATTAACATATTTATTTTACCATGTTTAAATTGGGATGGTCATTTGCAAGTAAGTATACAGACTGATACATGAGTTAACTATGCCCTCTACTGACTGAATAAGTATTTTGAAAACCAAACCACATTATAGAGAATATAGATTATGGTTCACACAAATGTACCACATTAAAACCAAGAGTACCTTTATCATACGAGTGGGCTTAATATAAATGACACTGAAAACTTTATTGTTAAGTATATGTAAGATAGAATATGTAATTGTAAAAGGGATGTGAGAAGACACACATATAATTGTGAGATTAATGGTTTAGAGTCCCCACATTACACAGCTTTTGTAAGCATCATTTACTTTATAGCCTAATGAGTGGTACTCAAGCCTGGGCAATTTTGTCCCCCAGGGGACAGTTGGTATTGTGTGGAGACACTTTGGTCATCACAACCTGGAGGGGAGGTTGGGTGTGGTGCACTGGCAACTTATGGATGGGAGTTAGTGATGCTGCTAAATACCCAAAAATACTCAGGCAGTCCCCACAGACAAGAATTACTTGTTCTAAAGTGTTAATGAGTCAAGGTTGAGAAATTTTGCTCAACATGAATATTTCCTCTTAAAATGTGCATCGAGGCAAAAAAGTCACAGTTTTAAACTCTGCTGAATGGGGTCAAGGAAGACATTAAGTCTCTGATATCAAAGAGTGATTTTTTTGTTTTGTTTTAAAGATTTATTTATTTATTCATACAGAACTGGGGTACAGGCCAGAGATGCGGAGGGTGAGAGGATTCACCAGGGACAGAGTTGGGAGCAGAACAGGCAGATCAATGAAGTACACTGCTGAGGGGAGCAGCGGGCGGGTCAGGAGAGGTCTGCCACGCCAAGAGTGATTTTTTTTTAGTCCTTTACCTGGGTTAGAAAATTTCAAGTAGGCTGGTTTCATAGATCTACTTTTCACTTATTTCTAATGCAGGAATGATACCATCTGTGTATAAGCTTTTGATCTGCTAATGTTTTTTAGAGTTATTGGGCTTTCCCATCATACCTGTGTTTCCATTTCCATCATCCTTTGTTTAATTTCTCTTATTTCTGCCTGTGTTTCAGCTTCTCTAAGTCGAATGGTCATCAACTCATCTTGTAACTCATTCACAGCATTTTTCTTAGGCGGATCTTTCCATCTACCAGTAGTACGAGCTAAGTGGCGCTAAAACACAAAAAAATTACATTGCAACAAATATTCCCAGGTAACAAAGAGCTATGTTTTCGGAGTCCTTATTTCAAATTCAGTATTATATAAAGCACTTTTTGTATGTATTTTACTTACTACCCAGAAAATCTGAAAAGTTAGGCACTATTACATTCATTATACAGGTAAAAAAATGGAAATTATGATTAACTTCAGAAAGGTTACATAGCAAAGTAAATGGTAGACTCTGCTACCATTCAATTTTTTTTTCTACATTGTGGATTAATGTAAAGAATACTTACTGTAAATAACACAATTTTTACCCTAATATATTTGTAAGGTATTTTTACATGTTATTGCTAATGAAATCCAAGAAAAGGAGGAAATAGGACCATTTGTGAACTAAGGATAAAGATGCTAAAATAATAAAGAAAATATTAGAAGAGCAATGCTTCAAAATATACATAATTAACGGTCACTTTTGTTTACTTGTTTTTAATTTCCAGTTTATTGCTTACTGATTCTTTTTTTAAAGATTTGTTTATTTATTCATACAGTACCAGGGGATAGGCCAGAGGTGCAGGGGCGGGAGGATTCACCAGAGACAGAGTGGGGAGCAGAAGGGGCCAACTGATGAAGTACACTGCTGAGGGGAGCAGCAGGCAGGTCAGGAGAGGTTTCCCACGCCATGTGGATCACCTCCGGGGCAGGGTATAGAACCTGCATTGAAGTGGCTGCAGCCAGCTTCGCAGTGCTGTACCACCTAGGAGGGCTCTGCTTACTAATACTTTTTTTTTTCTCAGTTTCCTTATTTATTTATTTATTTTATTACAAAGTTTATTTTCACATCATTTTGCACATTTTTTTTTCCATCTCGATTGTAATCCCTGCGGGTTTCCCATCACCAAATTACCCCTGTGCCACCACCATAGTCC